CTGCATGAGCTTCGGTACTGATATAGGCTGAATAGCGGTCAGGCGTATGTAAAATTTCACTTGCATGCTGATAGTGGTTTTCCATAAATTATGCTGCCACATGTAAATGTCTTGTAGCCGGCGTTCTGATAGGTGGAGGTGGAATTTTACCGCCCAGTCATCACCACATGACTAATGGAGTTTAACAGTACTGGTCCTGTGAGTGGTCCTTGTTGCACTGCATTGCCAGTCAAAGCGCTGTCTGGCCGCCACTGTTTCATTTGTTCGAATAATGGCTGTTGCACTGGTGTAGATATTCTTCCGGATGTTGACAACTGTTACATCAAACAGCTAGTGCAGAACTTAACGTTCTGAGAAATTAGAGACGTCATCATAGTCTTTAAATCCGGCAAGCAGTGACCTGTATTGATTGTTACAAGCAAAACGCATAATGTGGTCAGTGATGGAGCGGCTGAAACCCACTTCCTGCTGCAAGTCCCGATTCCACTTAACGAAAATTGTTCAGTGGTTTTGGAACTTTGCAATTTACACAAATAAATGTATAATTCTTGGTATTGAACGCGTGATCCATCTTATGTTCTGGTATAATAATTACTACTTCTAATTTGGAAATAGCTAATTGAATCAGGCTTGCAGTCGCTTGTGAGTATCTCCTTAGCAGATATGGTTTAGCATGCCTTAAATTAGGCTTCCTCCTGCCGTCCTGCGGACATCATTTGATTAAACATAGAGCCATACCGTTGAACTTAATTGACGATGTCTTAGACTCACAATGGTTACTTGGTGCGATCATTCAAGTATTTTCTCAATTTGCTGAATCTTCCAAGTATTGTTCGAAAGTTTCGCAGTCCCGTTTAAGGCACGTTTTCACCGGTTCTATTTGGATTTCATCTGGACCAGTTGCTTTGCCCTTTGCCCTTTCTTCAAAGCATGCAAAATTTTTGTTCGGGTAGTATGTAAATAAGGTAATTTTATTTAGAGGCCTTTTCTAAATGAAAACATCGAGTCAATTTATATGGAGAGGTTTGTGGTTATTTGAAATGCTCTCTTAAGCGGTTGGCACATTTATTTCCCATCAGCATAGCATATCCATTATCTGAACTTATGAAAACGGCCCTGGGTAGTTTTTCTGTTAATTTGTTGAAATATGGCGAAATCTCGTCTAAGATTGTGGCATTTCAAACTCAGCTTTCATTGTAGTGAGCTTTTTAACTATCATGTATTTATATTCTCTCTAAATGAATTTTTGATTCATTTTCCCACTATCATATTTCTTGCTACTTTGGCTCTCTTTAATTCCTTCATCAGTTTTTCTGTTCGCCGCCCACAAATTGGCAAATTTTCTTTTCATTTATATTTTTCATCGGCAGATATTGACATCTATTAGAGCAGCAATTTGTTAGGGTTTGCACTTTGGAGGTACCGAGTTCGAACTCAACCATGGTGTAAAATGTTTTGTTACTTGCTCATTCCCTTGCGCAAGGAATTCGCGGCACCGTGCTTCTGCATAACAAACCAAGGAGAGGATAGAAAATCGTTGATTTGCAACCAGTAAAGTGTTTTAATGTGGCTGTGCACTGTTTTAACGTTGCCGTAATTCAGACTTTTACCTTTACATAATCCGATATGGCAGTGCAGTCACTTTCAAAATTCTATTATGTTTGTTTTTTTCAGGAAGTCTAGTAATGGTAGGTCACTGTATGTTGGATCATGGCCTACAGGCTTCTGTTGAGCTTCGTGTTATTTCATTTTGATACTTGTGACTTTTTCAATTCGGCATTATAATTTTCAGTCAGTTTCAGTGTCATCCTGTTACTTATGAAATTGAACAGTAACTTTAGTGAGCTGACAGTGTCATTTGAATGGGTCTGTGTGTCTCATCGGAATTGTTGGTAGGTGAAAATAGCCGTTTACACGGTAATGTATTTTCCACAAGCTAACACGGTGTCTTTATGGACTTGAAACGAATTTATCTTCTGAATAGTCAGTTATTGGTACCAGATGAAAAGTCTATTTCCAATTTCATACTTAGATGCTTCAGGAACATGTGCAATTAGGACAAGGTTCAGAGCTCAAAGTATTTGTATGCTTTTTCACACTATTCTTCATAGTTGTAAGCTTCGATGTAATCAGATCCCTAAACATTTGTCAGTATGGTCCGTATGCTCCGTAAACGCATTCCATGATGTCACTGCGCTGCTACTGATGAAATCTGTTCTGTAAATCATTCTTTCTACTTGTCACTGACAACTGACCCCACTGTTGGTATTCTTTAATTCTTTCTGCAGTCAAACAGTATTGACTAATTTGGTGAGATGCAAAAGGAATCGTGCATCTTTAAGAACACTGTAGAAATATTATCTGCCTGAGAGCTTTTCTCCTTTCATCTCTCCGTTTAGAGACTAGCGGCGCACGTAGTTTATTTTCGTACCTTACGAACTGAAGTTATGCTATGAATTCTGTTTTCGAAAATGTTCCAGTTTATTGATGATTTCATTGAGCAGAAAACTCATCTTCATTGGCTTCCGTGCATTTAACCGCGAAATTGGTAACAGGTCGATTATTTGCTAAAATGGAGTTGACTTAGTCATATTACAGGCCATGTTGTACGTACGCCATTTTTAAATACTTCAGTTTACCCAAAAGTTAATTTTTGAATTTCATTGATTAAATACAAAATAGTCAGATGATCGTTAACTAACTGAATTCGCTAATATCGTCATTTCTGTCTGATCTCAGTTCATCTGTCGCTTTCTGTTTATATCAAATTCTAGGTGAATGTACTTACCTCAAATTTATATATAGTTTATATCTTGCAGTCAGAGCGAATAGCCTAAATGAACTGTCATAACCTGTTGCTGATCCG